CCAAAAACACGTTTAGAAAGGACATCAATACCTAGAAGCAAATAACGATTTCCTTTATTATGTCTAGAAAGTTGTTGGAAATCTGCCAAATCAACTTGTACATCTGTCATAAATCCAGCTGCTACAGTTTTTGATCTTTTAAAATGAATACGTTTGGGTCGCATAAGAGTGTATGTTCTATGCCCTTCTAAGTAATGTTGAACAGCTTTTCTTGGTATATGTTTGAAAACTTTACGTGCTTCATACCAAAGTCGATCAATTCCTGAAAAAGCTGCAGGTGATTCTGGATTATTGTATAGATCGTCAAGAAATTTAGTGTAATCAGCCATCTTTTACCAAAGAGATGGTTTAAATCTGTTGATATCCTTTTGTGTCGGTTTTCTTATTGCCCATTTATTTTTTGTTTTATATGAGCGAAACTCTAAATTTCTTTTCTTCAGATTTTTAACCCATAATCTTGAAGCTCTTTGTGATTGTTTTTTGTTGACTTTTCTCTGGACTTTAGCAATTGTATGTCCGTCTCCTTGCGACCACTCTGCTTTTCGTTTTATTTTTTGACGGCTTAATGGCGGGGAAGGTGATTTTCCCTCTCTTAAAACCCTTCTTGAACCTTTTGATGCTCCACTTTTTTCTTTATTACGTAATTGTTGAATAACATAAGGGTCTATTGGAACTTTATGTTTCTGCGACTTTCGTCGTCTGGCTAATAATTGTTGCCTTTTTTCATAACGTTTCTTATCGATTTCCTTCAATTTATTCTCTTTTTGTCTTATTTCTTGTTCCCTTCTGTTGTCATATATCTTTTTCCTCTTTATACCTTCAAAATCAGCCTGGTCAAATTCTCTTTTAATAATTCGTTGTTGAGGTGAGACATGAGTTGATATTATTGGCACATCTTCGGATAATATAATAGAGTCTTGCCTTGTAGAGTCTTGTTTTGTACTCCCTGTTTTTGAATATTTTGTACTTTTGTGTCTTGAAAATCTTTTCTTTGGCTCAGACACAATTTCTTTTTTTATTAATTTAAGATTTGTAGTTGGAGGTAGTGGAGGAGGAGGTGGTGAGCTTCCTCTCAATTTCTTAAATCGTTTTTTAACAGAGCTAGATGATGAAGATAAAGATGGAGGGTGAGGTAGTTTTTGGGGTTTGAAATTAATTATCGATTTAACATCTTTATTAGATTGAGGAAAAGACGGGAGAGAAATATCATCTGTTGTCAAAATTTCATCATCATCTTCGACTATATTAGACGACGGCCGTGTAGAATTTGTACTCATTATTGCTCCCTTAGGTGTTGCAACCATCTCTACTTTAACTGGTCTATTTTGTTGTTCATTTCTTAATTGTAAATACCGTCTCAGTTCTTGGTTATATTTTACATTTTTTGCACTTGGAGTATCTTTCTTTCTTTTAATTCTTTCAAGATCATTTCTAATTAAATCTAGATTAGGCTCCCCCGTATCAAATGTAGTTAGACCTTTGTAAATTTCCTCAGGAACAAGAATAAATTTGTTTGCCATAATTTTAGGTATGTTGTTTTTTGTTTAATTCTTGCTTTTTATAGAATTTCCTAGAGATCTTGCTAATTCCATAAGAACCGGTGTCAATAACGCTGCAAACATACCCACACCCTCTCCTTTTTGATTTAAAATTTTTCTAGCGCCAAGTTCACTTCTTATCCTACTCATTTTACGAACAAAGTCAGCATATGGAATCAGTCGTTTCTTTTGCCGAGGAGTAAGTTTGAGTCTAGCCTTTATAATATTCAGACAAATTTCGGTTATAGCTAATAATTGGTTTGTATTTGAGAGCCTTAACAGTCGTTGCAATTTTCGATGCGATTTTGTTTTTGCAAGAAGTCGTAAAAATTGTAAATTTTCGTGAATAATCTGGCTAACCATATTATTATTTATATTCTATTTTTTGGAATAAAAATAATTTTTTCTTCATCTTCTTTAAATATACTTGTGCGTAGTCTCAGTCCTGGGTCAGATGAAGCATGCATATCAATAACTAGATAACCAAAAGGTTTATTTGTTGCTTGTCTATATGCATCGAGGAAATAATCGAGCTTCTGTGGAAATAGTTGAACACCTATATTACGTACAGATAATACCGAATTAGGAGAACGCATTATAATAATATATTGAGCATTTTGTCGCGCAACTTTAATTTTGCGTTCGAATAAATTCTGAGTAACAAAGACAATAGCAAAATTTTGATGATGAGATTTTTTCGTAAATAACTCGGACAAGTATTTTTCATCAATTGACATAAGTAAGTCGTCAAGAATTAGTAATAATGGCTTTTGATATTTTTTAATCAAATCCTCAGAAGGAACACCAGAATAAACACTGACACCTGATTTATGTAGAATAGGGACAATATTACTCATTTCACCAAAACAATAAAGTATACTTTTAGGTTTGGGGTCAATTAAATTCGAGGCTTCAGAAATAAACCTTAATAATAATGTACTCTTTCCGCTGGAACTAGGACCAGAAATTATCATACCAAAAGGAATTTTAAATTTCAAATCTTTATCTGAGAATGTTAAAGTTTCCATTTTAATTAATTGAAAAATAAAATAATTTTTGGTTTAAATAAGAAAAATTAACGAGGTATGTTATATAATGTTTCGATAGCAGCCATCTCCTCTTCTTCCATCCTTGTAGACTGTTTCTTCAAATTATTCATCTTATCAATCTGTGATGGAATTCCAGTTGTTGCTGCATCGAGACTATCAAAAAATTCATTAAGCAAAACATTTTCATTATTTTCTTTACTTTTGTCTTTGAGGATATTTTCAATTGTATGTTTTGTAGATTTTTGTGTACTAATAGATTGCTTTGGTTTATTCTGTTTTTCTGACATTGTATTTTGGCTTAGAGTTGCTGGTTGTGTCGGTTGTTGAGTTGGAAGCTGTGGCTGTGGTTTTACAGAGCCATATGGGATATTGAATACGCGGCCTTTGTTCTTAATCTTAATTTATAAAATATAATAGATAAAGACTAAAAAATATCTACCCGAAAGAAGCATATTCCTGGTAAGTCATAAGTTAGATCAAACGGTACATAACGAGTTCCTGAAATACGCGTGCAAAAGATAGTAACACCATCTTTGGTGACAATAAAATCCACTTCAGCTTCCGTACTTTTACATTCACGACATTTGCCAGCTATATCATATGGTACAAAACGAGAAGGGGTTAAACGCTCACTTGAAATCGTTATTCCATTCAAATTAATGCTAATTTCTACTTCAGGTAAAACTTGACGAGTTAGATTTTTATTATTGTTCATCTTAACAAAATTTTTAAAAATGAGCAAAAGGAAATAAAATTCATACATCAGCTCTGTTTTTATACTCCATAATTAGACCACGCCCCTTCTGATTAGATAAGGTAATAATAAACTGATTTGAAGTCTACCTTCTAAACACCCCTCTTTGGAATTTTAGTTCTGCTATTGGACTGAATATCGTTTTGAAAAATTCAATAACTGATGAGCTAGTTTCTTTTATGAATACCCATCCAGAATATAATATACCATCTTTTTCTGGCTTAGGTCTTATGGGAAATCCCATATACATTGGCATAATAGATTTTGCTTTCTCATCCCAAACGTACCAAGCATGACCGTAAGGGGTCCAAGTTATTTTATAATCCATGTCTTCAGGTACACTCACATTTAAAATATCCGTGAAATATACAGATGGGGATATTTTTCGAAATACAGTTATAGCTCTCTCACACTGCCATCTTTTAAAATCAGATAAACTTTTATTTTCGCTAGTAACATTATAAATCATATATAGTATTAAAATTATTTTGAAAATCATTTTTTCAGTTTAAGATTTAAGTTTTATTCGGGTATTTATACTCAATCAATTAAAAGTGAAGCGACGCTCTTTTAAAAAAGAAGCGACGCTTGTTTAAAAAAGAGAAGCGACGCCATTTTAAATTTGACTAATTTAATATGCATGCATGTTAAAATAGTTTAAAAGCTTTAAAAAGCAAAAAATTGCAATAAAAATGTTCCTCTGTAGCTTAGCAGGTAGCGGTTTTGATTCGTAATATTCATTAGTTGTCACGCTTCGAGAATGTTTAGGGATAATTTTTAATATTAAAAGTCCAAAATATTCACAAATAAAATTAGGTATTTTCAACCAGTTAAGAGTTTAATCAACTGAAAAACGTGTCAATATTCACACATTAAGTACATCAAAAATAGAGTTAGAGATGTGAACTTTCATACCTTGGATGATCAAAGTGTTTAAAGGTGTGAAAATTAACACCTTAAGATTGTCAAATTTTGTTTCTCGGACCCTTCCCCCGACACCCTTAAACAAATTGATTTAGTCGTCAGGATCAAAGGAAAAAAAGGTGTGATATTTCACACCTTGACGATTTACCGCACTCCTAGTGCGGTAATTTGGTTTCGTCGGACCCCTCCCCCATACCTTGGATGATCAAAGTGTTTAAAGGTGTGAAAATTAACACCTTAAGATTGTCAAATTTTGTTTCTCGGACCCTTCCCCCGACACTTTTGAACAAACTGATTTTGTCGGCAAGATCAAAGGAAATCCCCTTGTGTTTTGCGGACCCCTCTCCCAACACTTTGGAGCAAATTGGTTTTGTCGGCGAGATAAAAGAAAAAAAAAAGGTGTGAATTTTCGCACCTTGAGGATTTGTCGGCAAGATCAAAGGGGAAACAATTTGGGATTGCGGGAAAGATCAAAGGGGAAACAATTTGGGATTGCGGAAAGATCAAAGGGGAAACAATTTGGGATTTTAACAAGCGGCAAGATCAAAGGGAAAACAATTTGGGATTTTTACACGCGGCAAGATCAAAGGGGAAACAATTTGGGATTTGTCGGCAAGATCAAAAGGGAAACAATTTGGGATTGCGGGAAAGCGGCAAGATCAAAGGGCCCCATCCAAATCCTTTTGGAAAGTCCCCTAAAATCCATTGACTCCGCCCCCAACCCCTTCAAATCCTTTAAGAAATTTTGCGGACCCCTCCCACACCTTTAGGAATGTGCGGTAAACGGGGAAACAAAGTGGGGTGGTTAACTACTTCCGATGCCAATGAAAACTTTAAATATCCAGGATTAGTTCTTTCAACTTGAATTCCAGCATAACTATTCTTCTCTACAGTGAAGCCCTTACCAAAGCAAGGAACTAGATCAAATTCGTTGGTCTTTTATATGTAAATTGGTATTAGATAGATTAATTAAATGGTTCACTTACCACATTGGTATACACTGTAAAAGGTGGTGGGCAAGTTGGTGATGGTGTAGGATAATCATCGTTATCCTCATGACAATCCTCAGAAAATGGATATAAAATTAGAGAAGAAAATAAAAGAATTTTTATTAATAAATGATACATCTAAAGAAAATTTTTAAAATTTGAACTAAGGCCTAACATAACTTAAAAATATGTGATAGGGTTATGATCAGGAAGGTTGTTGAGCTATGATCAGGAATTGAAGGTCATTATTTATCATTATTTGATAATGATAATTATTATCGAATATCTATGATCATTATATCTATGAGGTAGTAGTATCTAGAATATGTAAATTCGTACTTTAGAGATCGTTTGAGAATATCCACCTCGATAATTGAGATTATTGTTAGATGGCTTGTTTCCGTCATATCTCAAACCGTTTGGGATATCTTTTGTAATTTCAATTATCACTATTATTAAATACAAACCTCTAGCTTTAAAAACCCCAAAACCCATTTTAAAAAATATTTCTTTTCGAATAGGGACATAAAATTTAAATTTCTAAGAATGATATTATATTTGTCAGTTGACAACATAAGAACAATAACTATTGTTATTCTTTGGATATTTACATTTGATAATGCTTAAAGAGTTGTTAATTTTTTTAATAATCCACGTTTTATTTTAAAATTATTTTTGTTAATTTCCTTCTTAAAATGATGCAATGCTACGCCATTTAATTTGAAAAAATAGAAAATTTTATTTTAAGAATTGAAATTAAAATTAAAAAAATATTATAAGACAGAAAAGATAGTTTACAAATTAATTTTTGAGCCAACTTTCATCTAGAGGAATCCAACTTTCAGGCAGCATTGATAATGAATCTATTAAAGAGCCTTTCCTAAATCTTCTTATGAAGAAAATTGGTCGATCCTGAAAATTAAATTTTTGCCTTTTTAAAATTACTAAATTACTTCAGGCATTAGATATCCCATCCAGGCAGCAAAGGAAGAAAGATCAGCAGTATCGAGGAATGAATCGCATATTTGTTGAGCAAAGTTTAGTTCCTCTCCACGAGACAGATTTAAGTCGGCAACATAGTGAACTTTACTTATTGGCTGAAATAAAAAAATAGAGATAAGTTCGAGGTGAGATCTCGTTCAAAAAGAGAATCGAGATTCCTTTTAAGGTAGCAAAGCTTATGCTAGCAAATAAGTGGTGGTAGGAGATGACTTAGAGAAATACCGTATTTATTAGGTAGAGACCTCAGTAGATCTTTAGAAATAAAACGAAGGTCGGATCTCAAAACGAGGGATTGGATAAAGTCAAAAGAGGTCTTTGATCCTGCTAATCCTGATGGAAAATAAATTCCAATAATTACCTCTTCAGCTTTAATTGTCGTCAAAAACCCTTTGTCAGTTCCAAAGAGTACCAATGAATAAGTCTTGTTTTTCTAAAGAATAAAATATTCTATTTTAAACTAATGGACTCTCACCAATAGCCTCTTTAAAATTTTTATTATCCGGATAAGCGCCTTGTTTATCTCGCCAGTTTGTGATTCACCCATACCTGTAAAATCACCTACACGTGTATGAATGCATATTTTGTGTGATTTATCCTCACTAAAATTTTTTTAAAAATATTTCTCATTCATTTTTCACACCTAATAATCTTATCCTTTATAGCAGTAACTTTTGAAACAAGTTCTTTGCCAAATTCAAATATTTTAAGGATTTGTGGTCGCATATGATTAAAGTATCGAGTATTTTCAAAAACAGGTTCACCCGTTAACATTAACGCTCTCCCTTTATTTTGACCCAAAAGTCTGAAAATTTTATTTAAAATCAGAAATTTAAATTCATTTACATTTTTGGATCATTATAATCGCAGCATTCTTTAGCAAAAGCAATTGAGTGAATATCTGTCACATTTTTCCTCTGAAAAATTGCTTCATATTTTTTGAATTTCTACAAAAAAAGATTACCAAAAAATAAATTTTTGAATGAAAATTAGGGAAAGCATGAGCTAGTTCTTTATCTATTTGATGCATTGTAGAGTCATCATGAATGTAAACAGGTGTTCTGTTAAGCAACTTTCCCATTGCGTAGAGACTAGCGAAACGATACATCTTTAATATTAAAATTATAAAAGTTTCAATGCCGTAAAGTTTGGACAAAATCTACAGGTCCCATAGATAGTGCAAATTTGAGATATGGATGAACTTTAAAAAGTTATGGTATCTCATGTGATGCATCGGATATGGCTGTAAAGATCTAATTTTAATTTCATGATTTTAATTCATGATTTATTATTTACTATTCTAAATTAAGGGATGGAGTAGAAGACTGGTCTAGATCCAAGCTTGATACTTTAAAAAATCTGATATCAATATCAAAGATCTCGTTTCGGTCTGATCTCGAATTTAGATTGTGTAAAATACATAATATTCCTTTTGATATTTTTATTAAATTACTTGATTCCCAAGTCCTCCGTTCATCGTTCTGGTATAAATAAAACGATCAAATTCCGGCATTTCTCTGACAGAATCTAAAGGTTCTAGCCATTGTTCATAATATTTTTTGTTTTCATTTTTATCTGCTGATTTTTTTGTTTGGGTAATTTCTACCCAATCATAATCTTTTTTACTTGTATTAGGCCTGTATATTGAAGAACAAATCATTATAATAAGAAACATGGAGATAATAAAAATTATTAAATAATTAATATTTTTAATGATTTTTCGGCCATTTTGATGTTTAAATTGAAAAGACAATTTTTGATATTTTTCCATTAAATATCTTGGGAGATTAATAAATTAAAATGAGCTAAAATACCGTGAGATATAAATAATATTAGAAATATTGAAGTAATTATAGTTTGAGTGAGATTGGGGAAGGTTTTTTGGGAAAATTAAGCAGATTAAACAAACAAAAAATTTTATAAAGCAAAAAGCATCACACAAATTTATAAAAAAATAATTTTTTATATTTTTAAGAGAATTTTATGTACATTTTCGTAAACTCTCGTGGATTTAAATAAAAATAAAGCAAACAAAACCCGAGAAAAATTGTCCCATAAATAATAAAAAAGAAAAAGAACATTGATTTTATTCACTTCGATTTCATGCTTTCTATTTTTTATTTATTTAAATATTTTAAAATTAAGGGATTGAGAATTTTTTTATCATTCAAAACAAATAAGAACCATATCTAATATAAGCCCCCCAAAGTGAATCGTTGAAAAATAGACGCTCAGGGCATTAATTAGAGCATTTACGTTAATTAAAATTTATTTAAAAATTAAAAAAAATTGTTTAAAATTTTAGAATATTAATAGGGAAAATATAATCAGAAAATTAATAAGGAAAAGCATTATTATTTAAAAAAATATATTAGTTTCGAATTAATCTTTAAGCCAATTTTCATCAATAGGAATCCAACTTTCAGGCAACATATATAATGTATCAATTGTTGGATTTTGCATAAGTCTTCTAATAAAGAAAATTGGTCGATCCTAAAACTTGAATTTTTTATCTTTTTAAAATTTTATAAATTACATCAGGCATTAAATAACCCATCCAAGCAGCATAACTAGACATAGCAGCAGTAACCAAGAATGAATCGCATATTTGTGTTGCAAAGTTTAATTCTTCTCCACGAGTCAGATTTAGGTTAATAACATAGTGGACTTTACTTATTGACTGAAAGATATAATTTTATTTACAGCTGACATAGCTATGGGCTATAAGCCTTTTTTGGCTTAATACCAACAATTTTTAGCTAACTAATAGCAAAGCACACCAAGTGACAAACCAAATGAGAAAATTTGTATAGGGTTGTCGTTTCGAACGGAGCCAGACCGAGGAACCGAGATTTTTTGTTTCGGTTAAGGATATTCGACGATCTTCGATGAATCGACAACCCTAGATGTTAAAGTAAAATTGGGGTTACCTTATCAACTTTAATGGTTTTCAAAAAGTCCTTATCTGTTCCAAATACCAACAATGAATAAGTTTTGTCTTTCTTAAAAATAAAAATTCCTTGATACTAATTAAAATTAACAAAATCTCACCAATAATCTTTTCAAAATCTTCAATATCCTCACATGTGCTTTATTTACCTCTACAGTTTGTGATTCCCCAATACCTTTAAAATCACCAACTCGTGTATGGATACACATTTTGTGTGATGAAGTATCTTCACTAAAAATTTTTAAAAATAGTAAAAATTAACAAGTTTTTCAGTTACCGCACCTAATAATCTTATCCTTTATAGCAGTAACTTTTGAAACAAGTTCTTTGCCAAATTCAAATATTTTAAGGATTTGAGGTCGCATATGATTAAAATATCGAGTATCTATGAAAATAGGTCCACCAGCCAAATATAATCCTCTTCCTTTATTTTGTTCCAACAATCTTAATATAAAGGCATATTCTTGGAAAATCTCCTTTGGATATCTTCCTCAATTAACTTTTAAAAATTGTGTTATGATTTATTTTTGTCGAATTTTATAAATCTGAGCCTAAGATATTGATCGGGGTTTATATGGGGTTTGTAGAGAGGTTTAGATCGCGATTAAGAATATATCTAGGAGTAATGTTTGTTATTACAAACGGATAAACTTCAGTTACATCTTAGGATCATGATAATCACAGCAATGTTGAGCAAAGTGAAATTGATGGAAATCTTTAAAATCTTTTTTCTAAAAATTATTTTTAAAGCTAAAATTCAAATGAAAGTTACCAAAAAATAAATTTTTGAATGATAATTAGGAAAAACATAAGCTAATTCTTTATCTATTTCATGCATTTTAAATTCTTCATGAACGTAAACAGGCGTTCTGTTAAGCATTTTGCCCATTGCATAGAGACCAGCAAAACGATACATCTTTAAAATTAAAATTAAAAAATTTAAAGCTTTATAGTATGGTAAAGACATAAGCTCAGATCAGGTATTAAAGACTGGGTGTGATCAATATTGCGTTTGATCCGTCATTGTGTTCATTGACATCAAATAGATGCTCTCCAAACACAATTCTCGAGATGCGTCCAGTCAGATTACATCCCCGCATTTGAATTCTTATATTGACTTTTCCCTGACCAGAATGAAGATCAATATGTGGCTTCTAGTTTTTTCTTAAATCCTATCCTTATAGTTTATAGGTATTTTTCTAAGTTGAAGATAAACTCAATTAAATAATCAAATTCTGGATATTAATTAAAGTTAACGACAAACTTGATTCCCAAGTCCACCGTCCATCATTCTGGTATAAATAAAATGATCAAATTCAGGCCTTTCTCTGACAGAATCTATAGGTTCCAGCCATTGTTCATAATATTTTTTGTTTTCATCCTAATTATTTATTAAACAGATACTATTTTATAAGTTATTTACAGTTATCTTATTTTGACTATTATCTAGCCGATCATAATTATTTTTAATTGTACTAGGTATTGTAGAACTTATCGTAGAACAAATCATAAATATAAAAATTATCAAAATTAAAATTATTATATAATTAAATTGAAAAGAGAATTTTCGATATTTTTCCATTTAGAATCTTGAAAAATTAATAAATTTGTTGAAAATCAGCTTTAACTAATCGAATTTAATTCAATTTTGTTTTGGATTAAGTATTGGAAAGATTATAAAATTTGAAGACCCACAACCACCTCGCTTTTTCTGATCGAAAATATTTTTTAAAGTGTGAAGTATAACAATAATGGGATAATATAATAATATAACAATAATTCTCGTCATGAGCGGCATCATATCTCGATATAAGAAGCGATTGTTTTTGGGTTTTTCTACTGATAACAGAACAAAATTTTTTAAATATAATAACCTAATCTGATTGGCTAAAAATCTAATTTTAAAATATTTTTATTAGCGTGCTTGTAAAAAAAGAAATGAGACGAACTAAATAAAAATTTCTTTAATTCATGAATATTCTAGGTAAGTAACGAAATTCATTATAGAACTGAATAGCTATTTTATAATAAACGAAAAATTTTGGATTTTATGGAATTTTTTAAATGAATTTAAGTTTACTTCCTCTTTCCGTAAGAACGTATAATCTGTATTAATTGTCCTCCCTCAAATAATTACCTCGCTTTCATTAAGTAACCCGTCCAGCGATAGAATGAAACAATAATTACCCCCCGAACAAATGCCCTAAAACACGTTTAAATTTCAAACCTCGTATAATTACCCTCCTTCGATTAATTAACCCTCCAACTAAAAGTCTAAATAATACCCATGGTCTTTTTTAAATTTAATTCCTATTAAATTTGAACCAATCCAGATTTGATTCAATATATATCCTGAGCAAATAATTTTTAAATTTTCAATAAATAAATTTATTTTTTTAAATTAAATTGAAATTTGTGTATTGTCAACAATCATTAATCAAAACTTTTTTTCAAATTAATTCGCCAAATATTTTACAACCATTTTTAACTTGAATAAAATGTCAACTTATTTGTTTTATTCATTATTTTGGGTAACACCTACGAGAAAAAAATTTTGTTTGTTCTGTTATCAGCACAAAAATAACAAAATTAATATCCCTTATATTGAGCTAATATTCAAATTATAATGTCGCTAATGACAAGAGTTTGCTGTATTCTAAAGCCTAAAACCTTAATATTTCTATTATTGTTTATTATTTCCCATTATTATTGTTATTCTTCACAATTGAACAAAATTGCAGAACAATTATCTAATTGTGGAAGATATACTGTTCGTAATAAGACAAGTAAATTAATGGTTGATGGCAGAATATTTGATACAGTGGTGCCTCTAGGGAATGGTTATGATTCTAAAGTGAGTTTTAGATTGTTCTTATTGTATGGTCGTTCGCCGAAGACCTTTAGAATTTTAGATCCCAAGATAAAAAATACTCAATTGTGATCTTTATACGTAATGATATCTAGAAAATATTCAGATTTTTCTCGCGTATTCACCAGCATTGGATAAATGTGTAGCAATCAAGCGTTGCATGGAACAACCATGGGTGAACAAATGTACAAGAGAATTGGAGGTGATGAAGGCTCTGAATGCTTCCGATGCTGGAAACGTTAAACTATTTTATTAGTAGGTAGTTTGAAAATTTAGGAATCTTATTAATTTAATAAATTTCCAAAAAACAAAAAAAAATAAATTCTATTTTTGTTTCAGTGATATATCAATTAATCAAAAATGTAACGAGGAGACGTTATTTTCCGATTTTTTGCGTGTTGTAATAATTGGCAGTAATAGACGAAGGAAACGTGAAGTTGCAAAGAATAATAAATCTTTAAGTAGGTTTTTAAGTTTCTTATATCAATTTTTTCGAAATGATTAAAATTAACTAGAATGCTGAAAATTATTCTAAGAAAATTTTTTTATAATATTTTATGTAGCCAATTGTACCTTGGTAACGACAGTTTTAGAACTTGGCGAAGAAGACGCTACAAAACATTGGCAGCGTTTAAATTCTAAAAAGGTCAATAGTAATAGAGAATTGGAACAATTAAAATTACAAATCCAAAAACAATTGGATAAATTGCATGAAAAAGGTAAATAATAAGCTAGGGCCATTCACATCGGTTAGCCGAGATGAAACCGAAAACTATGATCCTTACTAGGACTGAGACAGGAAGCGGGTGTCTAAAAACTAAAGAAAAAATCCGGAAACCTGGAGATACCGAATACTTATACAGTACATATTATATAAATTATTGCCCTGGGATAGGAAATGAAAGATAATTCAAGTAAATCCCCAAAATAATCCATCATTTTAGGTCTAGCTCATTGCGACATCCATCCAGATAATATACTTCTATTTCCAAATAATGGAACTTCTATAAATGCAAAATTGATAGATTATGGTTGGTCTTGTTGTTTTAATTCTACAAAATGTGGAATGGAGCTAAGCAAGATCGTGCCATTTTGCGAGGCAGAAGAAGCGCTTCTTGACGATAAAATAAATATGGATGGATTGGTAAATGAATTGAGAGAATTGTGAATCAAAATTCTTAATTTATCGTTTGATCATCATTGAATAATAATTAAAAATTAAAATACATCATCAAATATCATTAAATAAATTAAAAAATCTTAATTAGAAGGAACTCTCAAAAATAATCTTTAAGATAATGCACATATTTCCATACATTCCTTAGCAGTTTTGAATCTATTTTCATTCCCACCACATTCCTGAGCACCAAATTCATAACATTGTCTGGTAACAGAATCAAAAAAGAAGCGATGTAATAATAATTTGTTTTCCTCAAGTTGGTCTATTTCATTTTTGTCATTCGAGATTTTAAATTTTACTGAATCATCATTGTTAAGGCAAAGACCAGATTCTGAAATAATGACCCAGATTTTTCAAGGTCTTGTCAAACTCAAAATACCTGGAGGAAGATAGCACTTTGCTGGGTAATGTGGAATTTTCTCAAAAACGGGTGGAGCTGGGAGTGGAATAGCTAACGTGTAAAATTGAAGGATGTTGATAAGGTTTAATAAAAATAAAGATAAATAAATGATCATTTAATAAAATATTATTTTTTCAAATTAAATTTGAAAAAGAATTTTAAAATTTCAAAGGAATTGTTACTAAAATAAATTTTTTGATATACTCTTTTATTATTAAATTTTAACGCATTTTGGGAATTTTATAGAGTTCTCTCTCTTTTTAAATCCTGCGCAATAAAGCATTTACATAAACATTGTTTGGTCCGCTTTCTCTGTTATCCGATCCAAATAATTGAAAAGGCTTGGGATCGTCCAACAATGAACTCATTCAAGCGAAAATGCACGCATTTGCGCAGCGATATTATTTACTATTTTGTTTAAATAGACATACAAAATTTTTAAAATTATTCAATGCGCAACTTTGATGTTTTAAAAATGTAATATAATACTTTGAATTTTTCAAAAATAAATAAATTATAAATTGTAATTAAAAATTTTGAAATGAGGCTTAAAAATTAATATTAAAAATTAAATAATGTAAGGATGATTCACCTAGCAGCATTTAAAACTTAGGCGGGGGATAAACGATCTAAAAAGGAAAAAGAGAAAGCATTAGTCGATGCCCCGGTAGCTCAACGGTAGAGCTCCTGCATATAGTGAGCGAAAGCCTAGCAACAACTAGCAGGTGGTCGCAGGTTCGAATCCTGCCCGGTGGCTAAACTTTTGCAAACTCTTTCTGGTGCCGCTAACAGGGATCCCCACCAGGGGTGAGCGCATTGCGTTTTGCGTCTTGCGTTATTTTCGATGAAATTAACGCAAAAAATGTACCCAATCTGAGGACAAAATTGGAGAAATCCGGCTTATTGACCTTCCAAAATTCTAAAAATTTTCGCCTACGGCGCTAAAAAAGGAAGAAATTTTGCTTTCTGGCCTTCCAAAATTCTCAAAATTTTTGCCTGCGGCGCTGAAAGCAAGGTATTTAAATACCAATTTTCCATCTTGGAACGGCTCAAAAAATATCGGTCAGTATCTGGAGCTCAGATCTCAAGTTATCCTCCAAATCACCTGATATCCCCGGAATCAAATTATAAATACTGATAGCTCTTTATCCTCTGTTATCTCCCTAACTCACCCGACAGCCTTCAGTAATCCCATGGTATCTTTTTAAATCTCCTTGATCGCTCCAAATTACATGATAATCTCCGTAATCCCCCGCTACTTCGTTAAACCCCTTGATCCTTCTAAATCCTCTGACTTCCTTCATAATCCCTTCAAATCCTTTATCCCTCTCCAAAACATTACCCATCCAAATTACATGTATCACAAACTTAATTAGGACTCGCTGACTTATAGTAATACACCAATTTTAACTGAAAAATGGCTAATACTTAATTTAAAAAATTTTTTTCCCAATTTTGCGTTCTTGCGTTTTGCGTTATTTGCGTTAAATTTTGGCCTTGCGTTGCGTTTTGCGTCTTGCGTTTTTTGAGATTGTCTCTTGCGCTCACCCCTGATCCCCACTTGCTGCTGGGTGAACCAGCCGATCCACGGTCATGGCGCTTGACCGAGGGACCGGTCTGATGTAGGGATGGAGATGTAAGGATGATTCACCTAGCAGCATTTAAAACGCTTAGGCGGGGGATAAACGATCTAAAAAGGAAAAAGAGAAAGCATTAGTCGATGCCCCGGTAGCTCAACGGTAGAGCTCCTGCATATAGTGAGCGAAAGCCTAGCGAAAACTAGCAGGTGGTCGCAGGTTCGAATCCTGCCCGGTGGCTAAACTTTTGCAAACTCTTTCTATAAATTAGAACTTAAATTATTATAAAATTAATATTAATCAAGCATTCTATTTAAAAATAAATTTTTATATAAAAATTTAAAAGAATAATTAATAAAATAATTATTAAAGAAATTTAAAAATTCGCCAAACGACGGAAAAATTTTTATAATTTAAAAATTAAAATATTGTAAGACTTAAATTAGTGTAATTATTTTCAAGTACATTTTTTGGCAATTTTCCATATTTAACTTATTAAAATTTTTGATAATCTAGTAGTTTAATATTTAAAATAATTTATTTTTGACACTTCCGTGTTAATTTATTTAAAATTCTTAAAATAGATTCCCCCTATTTATAAAATTTCTTTAAATTTACTCAAGTAACTTGCAGAAATCTGATCAATTTAATGCATCGATCAAACAACTTAAAATTTATTTACTACACCTTGATGTGTGTTAACGAGCGTGAGCGTTGATTTCTTTGATTTGTAAATAAAAATATTTTTTTGCTGAATTTCCTGTTAAGAGAGCAAAGAACTTATGATCTGAAACAAGGTGAAGGAAAAAGTTTTATTGTTTATTTTTATCATTCGCCAAATTATTTACTTTAAATATTAATTGAAATAAAAATATTATTTTTTTATTCAATTAGAAATTTTAATTTAAAAATATTTTCCAAATTTTTTTAAAATTTTTTTATCAAGTACAAACGTTTTTACAAAAATTTTTCACGTGCTGCATAATCCTGCCCCCATAAATGTACTTCTACATATAATTTTTCTTGATCACGTTTTTTGTATTTTGCATGTTAAATATGCGAAGATAATTTTCTAATGAAGTTGTGTATGTAAATCTCTAACATTTGACATTATTTTAATATTTTACAAATTATTTTGACATTCCCCAATATTTTTTAATTTTTATTTTTGTGTATTTCTGTTAATATTATTAGAGTTTTGTGACCAGTGTATGGAGGACATTTATTTTGAATATTTTTTGCTTTCTTAATTTAAATTATTCTCGCAACATATTTTTTAAATTTTCTCATTTTTAATTATAGTAAAAACATGATAACTCTTTTAAATATTCCCTTATCATAATCAAAATATTCCAGACAAAATTTGTTTTACTCTTATCTAAATAAAACATTTAAAATTCAAAACTCACTCCCTTTTCTTAAAAATTTTTAAAATATCTTCCTCATTCAAAATACTCTCCCTCCCTTTTGATAACCTATAAATATCCGTTTTTATTTTATTATTGTAAGGCTGGGTTCATCCTGAAATCACGTGAACGATAATGTCGCTATAAACTTTGTGCTAAGTAGCGGAAGTTCCCAGAGAAAAGGAAAGAATATTACAAACGGCCATTCCCAGAGAGTTATTAGCCGCCCATTATCTAAGCTTAACATCGCCACTAACTTATCCTTGGGAAAGCGATTAGTAAATAGGCTGGTGCTTATAAGCTCTAATGGAATAGGCAAAGGCAGATCACTTCTTCATTCCTTCAACAGAGTTGCCTGCCGGCTTATCCATCGTGTAAAGGGAGAGACGTCTCCCCTTATATTCCCCCACTGCGAGCGATTAACTTATTCTATACTCTGCGGAGTTCACACATGATTGCAACATGCGCGACTCTGCCTATAACATCAATTGAACAACGAGGCACTGGGGAACGGGACCAACCGCTTTACTGGTAGCACCGGATGGTTCCTCACCTTTTACCGAAAAATTTAGAGTTAGGAATAGGTTGGGGAATTTTTAAAAATGATGGAATTTAAATTTATTATTGGCCTCAAAATCCGCGGTTAGATTTTATTAAATGATTAATTTATGAATGAATAATTTTTTATTTTTGCGCTCAAAATCCTAGGTCCCCCATTTTGAATAATAAATCAATATTTGAATGAAGATTTTATAAAATATAAGGGGGTTAATTTTTAAGTGATCTATCCTCTGCGGAGGCCATTTATGTATATTAAAAATTATTTTTTTATAATCAGTAAACCCCCATTTTACATTAAATTATTTAATTTTTGAATGAAGTTTCTAGAAAATATTAGGGGGTAATTTTAAAAGTGATCTATCCTCTGCGGAGGCCAATTATATTAAATTAATTTTTAAAAGGAAATCTATTAAGAAATAAATAAGTGAATTATAATAATGAAATAGAAAATATAGATCTTATCAAATTATTTTATCCTCAGTAAACCCCAATTTTAATTATAAATTAAATTTTGAATGAGGATTTTAGAAAATATAAGGGGGTTAATTTAAGTGATCTAACCTCTGAGGAGGCCATCTATGTTAAAAAATATGAAAATTAATTTCGAAGTCTTATTTAATGCCATTCGCTCTATCTTTTCATGAACATTTTTCATTTTATCATTATTATTGTTCTTGATTGATCTTTATTACTTCATTCCTAATCACAAAATCAAGACTGTCAGCAAATGAATAACCACATAGTTACAATATGATGCAAGTATTTCAACAAAAT